CCCCCGTGAATATGTTTGTTTTCAGAAAGGCTCTGGTAATGATTATACAATTACAGTAGCATAAGCATTTGGTGATGGCATTATCTCATTCCTTTTGAAATTCATAGTACAAAGACACAGGTTTTAAATTTTGTGTGTGTGTGTGTATGTGGGAATTCTCAGAATGTTTTAAGTTCTCTTAACCAACGTAGAAACACTTTTTAAAGGACACTTGTTCAGTGCTGTATCCTTCTTTTCAATTTGCTAGTAGTAAAATGGAAATCTCACCAAATACTGAGTGTTTTGAGGTCAGAATGCAAAATAACATTGTCCGCATTCAGATTTGCAGGCATGGTAGGGTTTTAGGAGAAAGACAGTACTCAGGGATTCAACTGATTTTCAGTACAGCTTTAGTTTTGTAAAGAGGCTTATAACAGAAAGGCTTCCTAGACTAGGTAATTTACCAACGATAATTTAGGTAGAGTTTATGTTACAAAAAGTAATTAGTACAGCCTTATTTATTCTTTTAAGTCATCTTATTAATATGGCAGTGGTTTTGATAGTGATTTTCATTCTCTTAGAAGTGTTACTAGGCTGTTAAAGACGGCTTAAGTGATGCTTATAAACAAAGCAGTGCCTACAGGGCATCTTTGTGGATGAGGGAAGAAGCAAAGCCTGCTTTTTCTTTCCTTTTTTTTTTTTAAAGAGCAGACACTAGTTGCTTGCTTTTCTTCTTTGATTGTAGAGTGCAGCTTGTACAGTAGCTTTTACTTATTACGATTATTTTTCCCACCCATATAGGTGAGCTGCTCTTACAAGGCCCAGTGTTTATCAAAGAACCCAGCAACAGCATTTTTCCTGTTGGTTCAGAGGATAAAAAAATAACTTTAAATTGTGAAGCACGAGGCAACCCTTCACCTCATTACAGGTACAGTGGAATATTTGAAAATCAATTTAAGAAAAAACGATGTGGCAATTGTGAACTTTTTTTGCTTCAGTATATTTATGCTATCGGTAAGAAATAATAAATGAAGCTATAGTTGTCTGCTGTATTCAGCAGAGCTCATACATAAATATTTGGCTCCATATTGTATATATTTGATTGATTATTCACTTTGCATTAAGATTTCTTGATTAAAGAGAAACAGGGTAGCGTCTCTTAAATAAACAATGTATTTTCTTTGATTTCTGGTAAAACAATGTATAGATTTGGATTTACGTGTATTCCTTGGGAACACATCCATTGTGGGGATGAAATTCAGTGTGTTGTAAAGGTATGTAGCAATCATAGTTTGAGAAAAAGGTAACAGCATCTATCCTTCCTTTGCTATTTTACTGAGTATATGTTAGAAGGCTCATTAAGTATAGAAGGATAAAATGCATTCCTACTGAAGTCATTTCAATTATTCTTGAAGAGAAAACAAATTTATTATATTTTTTCATGTGAAAGTGTATATCTCAGATTATATAAATAATAACTTGTTCACTGAAAACTTTCAAACAACACGGAAAGGTACAAGGAAAAAAAAAAGTGAACTCCCATCACCTTAAGATAAAAATATTAACATTTGGGAGATGATGGTGGATTATTTGGATGGGATGGATATTTACTTTATTAAATAATACAAGATTAACGATTTTTACTTTTCGGGGTGCTCAGGGGGCCCACTTTAATGAAGAGATGAATTATTTATAAATAGCATGTGCTGCTTTCGTATAAATGGTTACAAGAAAATGCTTGAGGTACCTTGAAAACAACATGCTCTTTTGAGTACTGTGAGCATTTGTCTCAAACACTCTGTTTACAGTATTAGTTCGCTTGGCAAAACCTTTATCTATAACCTGCAGAACAAGCAGACTGCAGCCTTTATTGATGAAATTCTAAATGTTTCCAGTAGATCTTCTGTTGTTTGCTTAACCCATGTAGATAATAGAAACGAACAGTCGTTGTTAAACTGGGTCAGCATTAGGCTAGAAGGTAGACCTTGGTATTTTTGCATCTGGAAGTAATCAAGATCAGTTTCTTTCAACAGTATTCAACAACATATTTATTGAGCACCTGTTGTGTGTTTTCAACACAATAAATGTAAAGATTCCAGGTTACTGGTTAGAATGGACAGAGGTGATAGAAAGTTTTCTGTCTGCCTCTTCCTTAACCTATAGAAATAAGAAAAGTATAACATGATTTTATTTTTGTTGGCTGCAGTGTGCGGCCTGTGGGATCTTATTTCCCCAACCAGGGATTGAACCCGCGCCCCCTGCATTGGAAGCGTGGAGTCTTAACCACTGGACCACCAGGGAAGTCCCTAACATGACTAAAAAAACAAGAAACTGTGTTTTATGAGCCAGTTCAATTAGCCAGACATAGCACATACAAAAGCTGAAAATATTTTCTTCTTTTGGGGGAAGATAAACAGATCCACTTAACAAGACATTATCCTGGAAACATTTATTCCTGGCATTTTTGTAGGACATTCTAACACTTCCTAAATATATCTGTTTGTTTGTCCCTGAAATGGAAGAGTATCCTTTTAGATATGACTGTGAATATTATAAAGAATCCATGTAAATGACTCATGTGTGGGCTGGGTTTTTTTGTTGTTGTTGTCAGTAAAGTTATTTCCTGGCATTTATCTTGTGAATAATTTGGTGATAAATGTGTTCAGCTGCAAAATTATCAAGATGCAAGATATAGTCATACAGCAGTTTATTTCTAAATGAATAGATTAATTATGTTTGTAAAGTTTAATCAAACAGCAAGAAGACCTGAGCTTAGAAATCCAGAAACAGCCTTTTGTTGTAATTATTTCTTTATATATCAGGTATTTATTTTAATTCCAGATTAATACATTTAAAGTGATACCAGGTATTTACACGATGCCATTGTGTAAACATAATGTATTTGTTTAAACATACTGATAACATGTATAAAATATTGATAAAATTCAGCCTTTTGCACCATACTTTTTATGATTTGTTGTATGTCCTGAGATATTATATGTTGAAATTCTTAAAAAACCTGTATCTGAGATTAGGAGATGTGTGACTGAAATTGACTTATCAGTTTTAAGTCTGATAAATGAAGAAATTTTACATGCTAGTTATTGTTTTAAAATATTTGGTTTATAGGAGAATAGAGCAGACACTTTCATTATAGCTCGAACGATTTTCTAAAGCTAAGAATTCTAACCAGTGTTCATCCACGTCTCTACAAATGACTCAATTTCGTTCCTTTTTATGGCTGAGTAATATTCCATTGTATATATGTACCACATCTTCTTTATCCATTCAATCTAGAGACTGTCATACAGAGTGAAGTAAGTCAGAAAGAGAAAAACAAATATCGTATATTAATGCATATAGGTGGAACCTAGAAAAATGGAACAGATGAACCGGTTTGCAGGGCAGAAACTGAGACACAGCTGTAGAGAACAAATGTATGGACACCAAGGGGGGAAAGTGGCAGGGGGGTGGGGTGGTGGTGGTGGGATGAATTGGGAGATTGGGATTGACATATATACACTAATATATATAAAATGGATAACTAATAAGAACCTGCTGTATAAAAAACTAAATAAAATAAAATTCAAAAACAAAGAAAAAAGAATTCTAACCCGTATAAAATTTCACTTTATAGTCATTAGAAATTGAGACCTTGGGGGCTTCCCTGGTGGCACAGTGGTTATGAATCTGCCTGCCAATGCAGGGCACATGGGTTTGAGCCCTGGTCCAGGAAGATCCCACATGCTGCGGAGCACCTGAGCCCGTGCACTACAACTACTGAGCCTGTGCTCTAGGGCCCGCAAGCCACAACTACTGAGCCTGTGTGCCACATCTACTGAAGCCTGCACGCCTAGAGCCCGTGCTTCTCAGCAAGAGAAGCCACCGCAATGAGAAGCCTGCGCACCGCAACGAAGAATGGCTCCAGCTCACCGCAACTAGAGAAAGCCGGCACGCAGCAACGAAGACCCAACGCAGCCAAAAATAAATAAATTAATTAATTAAAAAAAAAAAAGAAATTGAGATATTGAAAAAGCACTAGGGAACCTCTTTTCATTGTGAAAATATTAGACTTTCCTATAATAAGCAACAACTCCCTGTTATCCAATAGATAATAGCTTGTGCTAATGGAATAAATGGGAATATAGACTGATGTGGGTTGTAATCATGACCGTGTCTACCTAGATAACACCTTCATTTATGGCCTGATTTTTTCTGTAGCTTTTGACTTTAGTAGTCAACCAGGTAATATTCTGCATTATTCTTTAATTGTTCCAGAAGAAAATATGCTTGCTTGTTCTTATTTTTTGCTATCGTTTAAAAATTACAGATAAATAGTGTAAATAGCTAATGACTTTGAGGACATAAGTAAATAGTATGGGTTTTTTTGTTTTTTTTTACATAAAGTCAGAGAAAGGATACCTTTTTGTAAGTATTTACAAATCTAAGCACATAGAGAGAGAGAGAGAGGGAGGGAGGGAGGGAAAAAGAAAGATATCAAGGAGGAAAATTAGTGGTTCATGTGAAGCTGTAAATTAAAAGCAGTCCAAACACATTTCCCAAGTTTCAGAATAAAGTGTATGAGTCTTATAAAAGAATATCCTTTGAAAGCCCAGAGCTTGTCTTATAGACTGAGGCAAACTTCTCTGATGAGAAATCTTGTCTTTGTTATTATCCCACTGGGTAAAAAGAACTCTTAATTGGCCATATTAGAAATCCAAAAGTTCAGAAATTCTCAAGAGAAATTACTTGTTTTAGGGTTTAATTGAGAATTTTATTCCTTCTTTTGCATCTTCCCGCCTGAGCCCCAAAGCCTGTATTTAAAGGTTAATTAGTATTCAGTCTCATTTTAATTGCTGACGATGCTGAAAGAGGTTACCCTGAGGAAGTATTAATAACTTTTTTAAATGGGAAGGATTTTCTCCAATTTTTAAAGGGTTAAAAATGCCCATCATTTGCTAAGATGAAAGATCCCAAGTAGGAGGCTCCCTGGTCACCTCTACTGATTCCATTCAGGTTTAAAAGGGACCACATATTTGGGTTAGACTGGAGTATAGTATTCAAATGCCATTGCGGACCAGGTAAGTAACAAAACTAAAAGAGGTGCCCTGCCTTAGGAACATATGGACATATTGAATAGTGACTGGAGACCGTCCCACATTCAGCCACAAGTCCGTCCACTGGTCATGACTGCCCCTTAACCTAGCCAGTTGTTACCCTCCAGGAATCATGGTCCAGTATTACAAAACCTTTTCAACACATGTTTAAAATTGAGAAATTGTCTTCTTTGAATCTACTTCTAATGTTGACTGTTTTTCTTTTTAAATATAATGTAGGCCAAAGAAGATAAGCCTTAAAAGTGAATGTGTCCTATGTGGCCTTTGTGTTCACAAAGTTTAGTCTAGCTGGAGACTTACAGGCTGTGCTGTCCAATATGGTAGCCAGTAGCCAAGTGTGGCCATGTACGTTTAAATCCGTTAAACTAGGAATTCAGTTCCTCAGTCACAGCAGCCTCATTTCAGGTGCTCAGCAGTCACATGTAGCTAATAGCTACTGTAATGGACAACACAGATGAAACTTCTGGTGCTTGCACAAGGTTCTGTCAGACAGCACTGCTTTACTCTGACCCTTGGATCCACAGCTCTTTTCTGTAAATGCTCTTCTGTTTTTCTCTCATCACAAGGAAGCAACCAGAACATCATTCTCTTCCAGCTTTATATAACAAGTAAATAATTTTAATAAGGTACAGTGTGAGGAATCTTGGATATACACGTTGTAAGGACTATATAACATTGCAAAATGCAGATCTCTCGGCCACAGTTTCTCCCTTTTAAGTAGAGTTCCCTATAATGGAGTTACATCTTGCACATGTTTAATTTACTGAAATGCATTCAGTATAAGAACGAAGAAAAAATAATGGACTAATTT